ACTCCTCATGGGAGCCGGAGGACGAGGAGGATCCGAAGGAGGGGGATGGAGAGGAAAGAGCGGCTCCTGTCCTCTTCCGTCTCCTCCTCCACCTCCTCCTCCTCTTTCCTCTCCCCTCGCCCTCCCCCTCCCCTCATTCCCTTTTCCGACCTGCTTCCCCTGCTCCGGCCAACCTGCTGGAAGTACGCATGCCCACGCTGCACACTTGGCTGATGTCTCTGGGACGCCAAAGCCGATGCAACCATTGACGTCGAGCCCATCATGTAGTGGGAAAGACCCTGCTGCTCGACCGTGACGGAAGCCCCCAAGAAAGGATACCCCTGTAGCCTGCAGATACCTACACGGCCGGTGACGGCTTCGAAGTTCACGGCGACGCCGTCGCGACGGACCCCGTTGAACATGGCAAGATGCTGCAACCGATTGATTCACGTTCGCCCACCATCGACTCAACTACACGACCTCCTCAGGGGCAACGTCAGGAGGAGATAGGCTCAAAGGGGGGGGGGGCATCGACCCCCAGTCGCCCATCGATCGCCAATGGTGGCCAGATAGCGCACCCCGCCCAGGAAGGTGCGGGCTCAGCATCGGAGGCCTATCGCCGATCTATCGGCGATGCATCGCCGATTGAGGCTCGATGTTTGCCCCCTGAGCCAGTTCCCACCTAACGTGCCCCCTCACCTCCGCAAGACCTCGACTCTGGCCGACCAGCTCGAGGTGCTCAAGGCCTGCCACTGCCTGCAGGGACCACTCCAGGTGGAGTGCCCACTGGAAGGGCGGGCCTGGCGGCCGTGCAGCGTGCGCGCATTCACCAGAATCGTGAAGCTGGTCCTCAGCAACGTCTACGAGCTGAACACGCAGGCCGAGGGGCTCGATTCCGAGGGTGCTCCAGTTGTTTCAGCCTCTGGTCAGCACACGCATTTTTGGACGTTACGCCTGGGCAAAGAGTCCATAGCAGACGTCAGGCTTGACTGGCTCTGTACATCGCTCCACACTCCCACTGCCAATGGCACGTCCACCCCGCCCGCCGCAGGCATACGGCGGACGGCCCAACTGCATGCCACATGACGATGGTTCTGAGCATGCTACTACCATCCCTTCTCATCTTGGCGAAGATGCGGGAACACTTCGCTGCGTACACCAACTATAGTGAATGGACAGCAGGGATCTCCTTCCCTCCACCCCTCGGTTGCTCACACATCTTTCTCCGCTCGTCCCTCTCTTCTCATATCCACCTCCTTTTCTCTTCTCCCTACTCTTCCGTCATGCTTTACCTTCTCCTGCTCTTCTCGTCTTCACCCTTCCTTCCTCTCCCGGCTCTCCCGTCCTCCCCCCTCTTCGCTTCCTCCCATCTTCCACTTCGCGCTTTCCTCCTCGCTACTGCTCCTCCCCCTCCTCCATCCACCCCTCTCCTCCTCGTGCCCCCCCGAGCCTCTGCCCGAGGGCCCCGGCAAGGCTCCCAGATGGGGGAACGGACGGCACAGGGAGCCCGCGCCCCTAGCCTGCACCCTCATGTCCTTCTCCCTTCGCGCATGCGCTGACCCCTCGTCGGGAGAAGAGGCACGTTGACCATGACCAAGATGTGCTCAGATCTGGTCGAGTTTGATCCTGGTAAGGGCCCGGCTGGCCGTCGCTGACTTGCGAGGATGACCCACGAATAGACACGGACCAAGAAGGAGGACGACCAGAGAGGACACCGACGCTTCTGCGTTAAGTCTTGATCAGGGTCACCGTCTGCTTTCCCTCCAGCTTCTGCTCGGAGCCAGGGTTCGGCCACGTCAGTTTTTGCGCAACCCTCCTCCAGATGTGTTTCTATACCACGCCCTCCCCGCCCCACCCAGATCCCACCGCCCTGGGCCACTTTGAGTGCACAGCAGCCACGCCCAGGACTCAGGACCCTCGCCCACCCTCCAGGGCTTTGGAGCATACGTGTTCTATTGTTGTTGGGCGGCTTCGTATACTTGGACTGACCAGAGGCAGCAAAAGCTGGAGCGCCCTCGGAGTCGAGCCCCTCGGCCTGCGTTTTCAGCTCGTAGACGTCGCTGAGGACCAGCTTCACGATTCTGCTGAATGCGCGCACGCTGCACGGCCGGCAGGCCCGCCCTTCCAGTGGGCACTCCACCTGGAGTGGTCCCCGCAGGCAGTGGCAGGCCTTGAGCGCCTCGAGCTGGTCGGCCAGAGTCGAGGTCTTGCGGAGGTGAGGGAATCCTGCTGGCGCCAGAGGTATCGGCCCCTTGGTCGGGGACAGCTCTGCGTTCCGGATTTTCGTCCAGGACGGTCCTCCCGTCCAGGCTTGCATGATGGGGAAACCCTTGGGTGTGACAGCAACCAGGCGGGCAGGAGTGCGAGTCTAAGTCGAAGTACCTGGGGAGGCGCCTATGGGGAGGCCAAGGGATGCGCAATAGAGTATTCACAATAGTTGGTGCATATATGCAATAGTTTGCGGTCTGGGCGCGCTCGTTGTGCGTGAATGGCAACCGCCCGGTCGTTCTAACGCAATCGTTTCCGTCCCGTGCGATAGTTTGCGCCCCCAAAGCAGTAGTTCAGATGCAATCGTCAGCGCCCACGAACTGCTGCACCTCCCCCCCGCCCCCCATGTGGGTTGCCCCCATCGCTCCAGCACGAAACGAGGTCGGTTCCACGGGCGGTGGATCAAAGAGTTGGCCAGAGCAGGGCGCGAGCTGAGCGGTGCTTCTGGCAGCTTCCGTGGACAGCTCGCGTTCTGATCTCGTTCTGCAGGAGCAGAGGCGGAACGAAGACAGAACGAGGGAGAGCGAGGGCAACGCGGAATCGGGGGGCGCGAGGGGCGCGCCGCGGGCGCGGCGAGAGGAGGGAGGGAGGCGGAGGAGGCGCAGGAGGAGGAGGAGGAGGAGGAGGAGGAGGAGGAAACCACTTTTCTTTCTTGCTCGCGCCCTGAGCCACCGAACCTGTGCTGTTCCACCAGACTGGAGATCGGGGGCCCCGCATGGGGCCTCCGACCCGCGTGCTGCCCCCCCCTCGCCTCCTGCGAGCAGCGTTTTAAGTCGGGCATATCTCGCGACAAGAGGAGTACTCAGAATTGTTGACGCTTCGCGAATCCCCACCAGCGGTCGTCTCGGTGCCTACCTCAGGCCTGTTGGACGCACCTGCATGCCCGTTCAGGGGCTGTCATGGCACCTGGATTGCATCGGCTTCGCCCCCCTGGACGCTGTCGTGAGCCGCCTGATCCGCGGCCCTGCGCGCGTTAGGTAATTTAGTCGCGTCCGCGGCCCGTTCGCGACCTTCCGCCGCTGGCGCTTCCGCTTGCGGCTGTAAAAAAAATCCCCACCAACAGCCCAGCCCCAGGATGTGACGTCCAGAGGGTCAGAAGTGGAGCCGCCCGCTGCCAGCTGGCTCAACAGGCCCCAGGGGAGGGCGGGACTGCCCACGACCGACCAACTCGCTGAAGATCACGACGCCCCCCTGGCCTGCGCCAGCGTCTCCCCCCAACAACCCGACGCACCAGGCCCGCCCGACGGGTCCCCCGAAGAGGTGCCTCTCTCACCAGAACACTGGAACGGCGACGGCAACGTGGAAGGGATCGACTGGGATGACGACGCCAACAAGAAATCCGAGACGGACGACAGCCCGCCAGGTCCTCCCGACCCAGAACTACAGGACAGCCCCACGCACCAGGTTGACGACGCCGACAGTCCAGCCTACACCCATCGGACGGCGGCCCAAGTTCCCCCCCTCATATGGACCCGGCCCCCTCACAGGGCCGAATCGAAAGCCTGGTCCCCACATGCGCAGGCGTCCGATCGAGGAGCACCGCACGACACATGGAGGAGGATCGAAGCCCGCCCCAGTGAGGAACGAACCTGGAATGTTCACGCTATAGGTGACGGCCGGACACTCAGACAATCGGGGAGCGAAGCAGGCCGCCGGCCGCCCACAATCGTCGAAGACCGCAACAGAGAACACTCAGCCACACCACCCCGCAGCTCACCCAGGCCGCGTCACAGCTCACAGGGGCGGTGGCACGACGCACGGATAGCAGCAATCCCACCTGCGCGCCGAGACGACCCCATGGGTGGCCTCCCCATGTGCTTGGGGCCCATCGACGACGCAGATGTCACAAGGGACGAGCCTGCACCAGAAAAGATCACGCGAATGCAGAAGACGCTGGGGGGTGCATTCAACGGGGTGTGGAGCGCCTGGGCCAGAAAGGCGGCACACAAGCAAGGGAGCTCCTGGGTCAACATCAAGTCTGACCCCTGGCCCAGAACACACGCCACAGCTGTGCGACGACTTCCTCCAGGCATGGAGCAAAGTGGGATACGACGCCTACAAGATGGACAGAGACTACCAGCTCCACATCGACTGGCCCATCGTCTTGGAAAAGCAACGCAGGCACACGCAGCGCGACACCAGAGCACGCGCAGTTGAACCGCCCATCGGAAGCGGACGCACACATCCGTGGACCGACGAGGGCCAAGAGGCTGCAAAGAACCCCCCGTGGGCCTCCGAGGGCCGAGCCGCCACGCGGACAGGTGCATCTGGATCAGCAGCCCCCTGGCGTACTTGGCAGTCCTGGGACGAGTGGGAGCATCAGCGAGGCACATGGACCGACACAGACTGGAAAGCCAAGGGGAAGCGGTCCTCCCCCAGAGGGGAAACCCACTACGCGGACAAGCGTCAGCGAGGGTGGGACTTCGGCCCCAAGTAACTGAGACTTGGCCTTGACGCATGCACCAAAACCACCCCCCCCCGGCCAGGGGAGTCGGCCCGCACGCTCAGGGTCCCCTCGCGGGTTTGCTACGCGCCTCCCCCCACCTGTTCATCCGGTCCTTCTCCGGTGTCCCGTGGAGGATGCTCCGCGTCGCCTGTCTGCGGCTCAAGCCTTTCTTCCACCAGTCATGTCAATTCTCAGAGTTGCCACTCGGCCCGTCATGGAGCGCAACGCTAGCTTTTTGGACAATGACGACCTTGGGCAACTGGGAACAGCCTCCCCCCACCCTCTACAAGGTGGTCTCCATCGCGCT